CAGGGAGCAGCTGCTACAGCAGCTAGATAGATGAGCAGCACTCGCTGTGCGCAGGGGGCCTGGGCTGGCACCTGCACTGCTCAGGTGGGCCAGAGCAAAGGCACTCCCTGCTGGCTGGAGCGAATTCAAAGAGTGCCACGCTGCTCTCACACATACACACACGAGAAGTCAATCCCCAGACCTTTCTCCCGAGATGCCTTTGCGTGAACATGAACCTTTATCTAACCTTGAGGCTTGCAGCCCTTTTGCACCAGCCTGCCAGTGGAGGCACTGATGCTGAGCTTGCAGGCAAAGACGGACTCAGAAGAAAGACTTGGTGCTCAGCTTCCCAAAATCAGCCCCTGAACACCCCATTGGTCACAGCAGTCTGATCTGCATGGAGCTTGGGGACAGCAAAGGGTCAGGCAGAAACGGTGTTGGTGTTCCTTGTGCGTGGGGTTGCCCTGAGCCAGAGCAGGCTGGGAGGCAGCTAACTACAACCACCACAGAGGATTCGGAATCTGTAAGATCGATCTGCTAAGATTCCACTGGGATTCCCTGGAACGGCAGCTAGGAAGACTGACGGAGCTAACGCTTGTCTCTGGACACAGTGCCGGCACCTGGTCAGCCCACCAGTGAGCCATCCTTCGTGTCACTGTCAGACGAGAATGCCCCTTTCTGGAGGAAACACGAGGACCATGTTAGGTTTGGATGGGACCCACTGTGATCATAAAAACGAACCCTAACCATAGGTGGCCTTTGGAGTGTACTCTGCGGCGGCATTATTTTTGTGAATGGACAAATAATATTCTTTACACCCTCGTGTCCACCCCTCTACTCTACAGATGGAAAAGTTAAAGTAAGGCAGTGGGAAGGGAGGTGACTGAGAAAAGACCGCCTGGTTTGGAAGAGCTAGAACCTGAGTTTGCAACCTGCAGCTCTCAGTACTAACCACCCCACCAACCAAGCTCCCTCTGGTTTGTTGGTTGGGTCTCTGGGACGCAGACCTTGTTCTCTCCACCCCTGATCTGCCTGGGGCCCCAAACACTGACGCTGCAGACAGAAGTGTCGGCTAGCGCATCAGGGCAGAGGAGTGCTACCAGCATGATTGATGGCTCGCCGGGGCTTCAGCTCAGCATGCGTCCGTGGAGCCTGCCATGTGTGGGTTGCCACGGGTGGGTACCAATCCCGAGGCACTCACTGCCACAGAGTCATGCCTGCCTTACAGCCCAGGCAGTGTTTACCGAGCACAGCCTGTGGGCACTGGACGGGCCAGCTTCCTTAGTAGGGCAGAAAAATCCGTTCAACAGTTCAACCCTCACTGCTTCAAGTCCATTCTGAACATAGCAACTCTACAGGACAGAGTAGAATTGTCCTTTAAGAGTTCCTGAGACAAAACCATTATGCAGGCAGACTGCCTCACCCCCGTCCCATTAGCAGCTGGTGAGTTTGACCTTGTAGTTTGACCTTGTAGTTTGCAGACCAACTCCTAACCCCTTGGGTCACCCACGGCACTCTTCCTCATCTAGAGTCAAAAAACAAACTCACTGCCCTCGATGCCGACTCATAGTGACCCCACAGGACAGGGTAGAACTGGCCCAGTGGGTTTCTGAGACTAACTCTTCCCAGGAGTAGAAAGCCTCATTGTCATCCCGAGGAAAAGCTGGTGGTTTTGAACTGCTGACCTTGTGGTTAGCAGCACACCACGTAACCCACTGTGCCAACGTTCCTAAAGATAGCAGCCCAGAAAACGTCTGGTCCAGTTCTGTCACGTGGGGTTGCAATGATGGCACCCGCTGCTACCACCCGTCACACCACGGAGCATACAGCTGTGCCTGTCCGGGGACAGTCTGGGACAAGAAGAACGCTGTTCCTGACCTCCTGGGAACACGGATGGGGGGAAAGAAGCACAGAAATGATGTTGTTTCTTGCCCCGAGGTCCTGCACGATCACACGCATGGGTGGGGCTCCTGATACAGGTCTACGCGATGGCGGATGCTTTCTAACTCCTCTCCCCCCCCTTCTCCTCTCCAGTTTCAGAGACCTCACGACTATTCCCCACCTTTTCGCTTTGGCACGGTGCCCAACGGGAGTACAGAGAGAAACATTAGAAACAACTACCCCTACATGCATCAGTACATGACCAAGTTCAACCAGAAGGGCGTGGAGGACGCATTGGTCAGCTTGAAAACGGGGTAAGGACAGGGGCCCCTGGTTCTCTGCAGGCGCACCCACCATGCTCTCTGCGTGCCCTGATGCTCACCCGTGCCCGCTGTTGCGTTTGGGGGAGGGCAATCTGATGAGCTTCAAGGGCCTCCTTGTGAGCCGTGTTAGGGAGAAGCGGGTCGAGGACCCTCTGAAATGCGGGGCGACAGAGGGGGGATCCTCAAACTGGTCCGGAAGTCGCTCTCACTCCATGGGAAAGCCTAGCCAAAGGGGAAGCTCTAAGAAGACTGAGGGTTTGTTGAAAGTGGTGAAAACAGAGTGGTTTAGATTTTTATGAAATTGTAGAGGGAACTGGGCTAGGGAGTGGGAGGAGAGAGTGTGTATGTGTAAGGGGGTGGGGGAAGAACCTAACTAAACCAGGCATACTGATAACAGCTGTATATGTATATGACAGCAAATAAAAGATAGTGATGAAAGAGAAAGGACATGTGGAGAGACAAGCAATGAAAATTCACAGGTGCTCTCAGAAGGTACAACTCACCTGCATGTGACCTGCGGGCACCCAGGACTGGGCAGGGCAGGGCCTGGCAAGAGCACAGACGTTGAGGGTAGACGAACCACCCCCCAGTCCCGTGATTTTGCCGTCTGACCTTGAGCAGTTAGTGACTTAATCCATCGGAGCTTCACAAGCAAAGCAGGACTAATAATAGGACCTAATTCTGAGGGTTTTATGAGGATTAAGAGAGACGTTTTGATGGAAAGCATTTTGGACAGCGCGGGGCCCAGGGGAGCTACCTAATCGTTACTGTGGCTTATTTGTTTTAAAGGTTAAGTTCTGTTCTGAGGACTCTTTAAAAAAGCCAGGGATGTGTGAAATGCACCTTTTTTTTTTTTTGAAGGGCTCCATTGAAAATGATTTTGTGTCAAAAAAGGCGTTGTTTACTGAGGGATGTTTTTGTACCCAGGAAATCTACCTCCGTGGGGCAGGCACACAGTGGTCAGGGTTCTGAGGAGGGGGTGTGATTGGGTGTATTCTCCTCCCAGCTCCCAGGGGTGATCTGCAGGCAGCTGTGAGGGGCTTGTGGCTCACTTTGTGCCTGCTGGCAGGGAGAGAGCCCCTGTAAACCAGTAACCCCAATCTCCACCTAATTCCCGGGTCTCCAGCTGCCAGTGCCTAGTCATGCCAGACTCAGCTTCTGCAATCTCTTTGTGTCTCGGTGGGTCCGAGGACCTGCGTTCAGGAGCTGAGTCCAAGAGTGAGCCAACATTCCTTCACAGATGGGGCCGTCTGGTCTGGGAGGGGTTTTGTTTGAACTTTTCATTGACGTCCAGCACACAAACTAAGGCCAAGCGTACTTCCTGATGACATCATGTAAACGGCACCCTCCCACCAAGCAGCAGGGTCAGCTGGCCAGCCCCGGCCACTGCTCACTCCTTCCTCCCAGCCACCGGTCACTCTGATTTCTAGCGCCATAGTTTGGCTTCACCTCTTCTTATAATATTGTATCATATGTTTTCTTATGCTGCTTGTTTTTAATGTGGCAAATACCCCCCTACACACACACACATATATACATAAGCTCTAAACTCACCACCATGCAATCCATGCCGACTCACAGTGACCCCGCAGGACAGGGTAGAACGTCCTGTGGGTTGCCGAGACTGTAACTTCATGGGAGCCGAAAGCAGCATCTTTCCCCCCGGAGAAGCTGGTGGTTTTGAACTGTGGTACTTTGAGATTGCAGCCCAATTTAGAACCACGACACCACCAGGACTACTGTGTACCTACGTGTGTGTGAGAGGGGCTAGAGAGAGAGATCCCGGTGGCAGAGTGAGTGGGTAAGTGCTCCACAGCTAATCACAGTCGGTGATGGTGGTACGAGCCCCCTGAACCCAGGGCAGAAAGCTGAGGCCGGCTACTGCTGTACAGCCAACAGCCTCGGGGACTCACCGGAGGAGCAGTTCTGTCTGCCTGGGCCCCTGGGCCTTGGAATCCACAGGCCAGGCAGCAGTGGGTTTGGTTTTTCAGTTTCACCTGTAGAACCGTGATAGATCTGGTGGCTTTCAAGCTCCGCCACGGCAGGGGTAGTGTGTCTTCACTGTGGCTGCTCACGTGAGCACATGCTGTGGCCTTGGACACGGGTCGTGAACACAAGCGTGGATGACGAGGTTGGACTCTAAAGTGAGCCCCACGGCCTGGTTGCATAGTGGCTCTCTTCCTTCATCAATCTTGATCCCTGGCCGGGAATCGTACGTATTGTTTTGTGGAAGCCACTTGGTAAGGATAGCACCCATCTCAATCAGCTTGGGCAGATGGTGGGTGACCAGGCTCTTCAGTCTCCCCTGTGGAATTCACCCAGGAGAACTGAGGGGAGATCCAACCTTCATTGTTGGCCTGACTCACAGCGACCCCCGTACGCCCAACAGAACCGAACGCTGCCCAGTGCTGCATCATCCTCCCAATGGTTCTACGTCTGACTCTATCGAGGCAGCTACAGTGTGGATCCCTCTTGTCAGCAGCTGCAGTTTGGGCTCAAGGTTGAATGATGCCCCAGGTTCATGGTCTCAGTGTGGGTGAGGAATGAGGGGTGGCCCTAGCCTCATGGCTCCAACAAGTCTCCATCCAGGAAGATGGTAATTGTTTGTAGTCCAAGAGACCATGTTTACTGATTTCTGGGGCTTGAGCCCTACGGAGCCCTGAGATAAGAAACCACTTTCTCCTAATTCTGTTTGGGTTCCATTCTTCATGGCCTCTGGGCTAACTCCAACTCCCCGGGTGACCTGGAAGGGTGCAGCAACGGAGAGCTGCTGCCCAGGGCCCCCAGTGCTGACACCCCCTGCTGTCCTGTGCTTCAGTCACCAGGCCCTGCGGTCTCCGGGCATCTCCTCCACCTCACATGCCGTCTTCCCATCCTCTGGTGCATGCCTCCTGCCTCTTCCCTTGTATACATTTCCATGATCAGACATGTGCGCTGTGAACACATTCACCAACGCTGCCTGTCGGGAATGTGGACTACGCATGGGCCCTGTGTGGGTGGTGTGGGTCCCAGGAAGTCCTTACAGGTCGGCTGTTCGAGCCCACTCACAGGCTTGAGGAAGAAAGGCCTGGCAATCCACTTTCATAAAGATGATAGCCAGGAAGATCTTAAGTAGCAGTTCTTCCCTGTCTCCTGGGGTCCCCCTGAGCCAGCGTCCACTGGCCAGCCACGGCTACTGTGTAAGACATAATAGCAACGGGGTCCCGCCTGCCCCCGGGGCCCAGGGTCGCTGCTGCTGTTGTGCTGTTGCATCTCTTCTGACACACAGGGGCCCTGTGGACAGCGGGATACAACCCTGCCTGGTCCTGCGCCATCCACTGTGTCCACCATCTCCTTGAGGGCCTCCATCTTTCTGATGTCCTCTCCCAGGGACTGGCCCCTCGTAAGAACATCTACCAAGTGTGTGGGACCAAGTCTCGCCCACTCCCTTCTAAGGAGCTTTCTGGCTGGACTTCTTCCCAAACAGACTTCCTTGCCCTCCCGGCGATGGTCTTCACCAGCACCTTCAGCCAAACGCATCATCCTTCTTCGCGCTTCCTGAGTCAGTCTCCGGCTCTCACGTGCACACGGGGAGGGCACAGGAAACACCATGGCTTGAGGCAGGTGCACCTTAGCCCGCAAAGGGGCATCTTTGCTTTTGAACGGATTTGCCTGATGCAATATGTCACTGATTTCTTGACGGCTTCTTCCATGAGCCCTGACGGTGAATACAAATAACATGAAATCCTGGACAACGTCAACCCTCGCTAATGTCTCATGTTGTCTACTGGTTGGGAAGACTTTGGTCTCCTTTGTTGAGTTGCAATCCCTTCTGAAGGCTGTAGTGCTTGACCTTCGCCATCAAATGCTTCCCGTCCTCCTTGAAGGTACCCGGCTTTAGAAACCTACGTGGTCCACTCTTCTACCCTCGGCAGCAGCTCTCTCTGCCTGGTTCCCTTTGGGAGGGCATTCAGTTGAAGGCATTAACCACTTGCACCAGGCTGGGACTCAAATGAAGGTAAAGTGTCCCAGAAATCATCAGGGCAGTGGATGGGGAACTAGGCTCAGATGTGCAAACACCACCTCCCCATGGCCGCTGTGCTGATTCTGACTCTTAGCGCCTGGGTACAGGGTTTCTGAGATTGTCTTTCTGGGAGCAGACAGCCTCATCTTTCTCAAGCTGAGCGGCTGGTGGATTCAAACCACCAACGTTGTGGGTAGCAGCTAATGGACACAGAGAGCTTTTCTGATGTGAATTCGGGCTGATCTGGACCAAAGGTGGAAGAGTGCTTAGTGACCCCTGGATTCTGGACCCAGGGTTCTCCAAGCCCAACCAGAAGGGCCACCTGCACCCCATCAGTAGAGCTGCCAACAAGTATGCGGATTCTATGTCCTAGAGGGAGACCTGGGCCTCGGCCCTGGTAACAAACACCCCAGGTATAAACGCCATGGGGGGAGTGACATCTGACCTCCTCCAGCCCCCATGGCTGATTGCCTCAAGGTAGAGGGCCGAGATGCCTATATCCTGTAACCGTTTTTAACCTGTTCTAATACCAACTGTCCTTGGCACAGGATTCTCCATTTTTCATCTGGGTTCGATACTTGATTGCAACAGCCACACAGAGGATGCTCACGATTATAGCATTTATTTGGGAAGTTAACAGGTTCCGGTTCAGGTGAGAACTACTCAGGATGCAATTGCTCAGTCAGACAGTTTCTTCTCTGCGGTGTGCTCAGCAGACCTCTCTCTAGCCCTCAGCCCCTTGGTCTGGCTTCTGCCCTGTTTGGGCAATGTTATAAAGCTCTTTGGGGGCTGCCAACACACGCCCACAGGACATGCCACTCTGCTATAAGCCTCAAGCCAAGATGCTCAACTCCAGCTCCATGAGTCAGCAAATCCAGCTCCCCCATTAAGTGCCCAGAGGGCACCACACTCCACAATCAGCCTCCTGCTCAAGCACTCAGCTATTCTTGTTCCGAGGGCTGGAGAGTCTATTTCGCCGTGTCACGCT